CCAGTAATATAGCTCATTTTTTTCCTCATCAGTCTTGTACTTTATTTTGAAAATAAATTAAATTTTTTAAAATAAGCTGTCTTTCATAAAGTTATAACATTGATCATTCTGCTCAATAACATTTACCATACTTTTAATAAGCATCCTAACATCACAATACAGCAAAGTTGTGCTCTTACAGAGAGTCTACTTTATGTATGCAATATGAAATGAACATTTTAGAAATTCAGTAGTAAAGGCTATTTGTGGAAGGGATGTTTATTTGGAGGAACACAGTTGCATAGAAACATTTTTTAAGGTTAGTCTTTGTGATCTTCAGAAAAATGTGAAAAAAATTCCTGTCAAAATTTAAAAGTTTATTAAAAATCTTAAGCCTGGTCTGTTGTCTAGTTTTCATGAATATTAAAACTGAACTCTTAGAATAGCTGTTTCGATTAGCTGACCGATATTATTTTCAAATTCAAAAGTTAATAAACAAGTACTCAGTATTTAAACCCTTTTTCTAAAGACTATGTCCTCTGAGGCTGCCTGATAAATAGGGCATAGTCCTCGTTTCTTGGAAATTTCTTTAATTTCTTCTTCTCTCTCCTAAGCACACTCTTTGAATAATAGCTTCTCCCCAACATACAGTGTTTTTGGAGCACAATGTGGAAAAGCGGTCATTATGAGAACAGTCACTATTTTTGGACCCATGGATGCATCCCTTACAGTTGCCTATTTTTAGAATAAATCATTAAATTTCTATGCACTGAATTATATAATTATATAATTTGACATTGATTTCTGCTATAATATGTTTTAATTCATTGTATATTAAGTTTTATTATATAATGTTTTCCTTTAAAGCTGGTTTTATTTGATTGTCATTATTAGATCCATAATATAAGTACAAGTATACTTATTGTACTGTGCCTGAATATATTTGTACTTACTATATGAGATTAATGGGAATGCCATTGTTAAGTGATTCAGTCATAAAATGTGATGTCATATGATCACACCACTTAGCAATGCAAGCCAGGCAGTCCCAGCTGTATTAACCCAAGACAATTTGTTAAGCAGGAAGCAGTGCAGGGGTGTTGCATGGGGTGAATGGGCCTGATGCAAGGCATGCATGAGTTGAGGCTGGGAGCGTTGTAGTTCAGCAAGAGTGGCACTACTGCAGAATGGCCAGGGAATGGGTGTGGGGTGCAGATGAGGGTAAAAAAGACACAGCAAAGAGACCACGGGTGGGTGTATGCATATGCATGAAGAAAGACAGGTGCAGACAGGCAGGGCATGGGGTACCCATGAACACAGGAAGGCATGGGAAGGAAAGCACTGTGACAGCAGTCTTACAAAGAAGACCTAGCACAGTCAGCAACTGCCTCACGTAGGGCCAGGCAGGGCACCTGTCAGCAGCAGCAGGAGGAAGATGGCAAAAGTCAGTTGGGCAGGGAATCTGGCGATTTGTGCTATGGCACTGGGCCGGCTGGCTGTGGCATGGTGCTTGAAGCAGCAATCTTCAGCAATAACAGTGATAGGATAACATATAGGACTAGAGGTGGTTGGCTGGCTGAGACCTCTGAAGGCCCTGAACTAACCCTAACCATAAAAAGGCAGAAATGGAGGGAAGACAGGCAAGTGGGAGCAGCTGAAGCATGCTGTGAGTATAATTCAGGTGGGCTTTGAAGCAGCTGAATTTTGATGATAGGGACTCTTCAACAGATGTTGCTTTGGGCCTGGGTATAAGTACCATTTGTTCAGTGCTGCTGTAACTTTGAAACAAATGGCTGTAACTCAAGGACTGCCTCTATAAATAATCCATGAATAATTTTCCATGAATGTTGCACAGAAGCCTGGAGGTAGCAAAATAAACTTGGAAATGCAAATATTTTCCATATCCATAAATAGTTGTTTTGATAATGGCCTCAGTCTTAATACTTTTTCTTTCAAACCTGTTTCTCAAAGTGTAGTCCCAATATCCCTGGCGTGTGTCTCCCTAAGACCCTCACAGGGGTATGTAAAATCCAAATTATTTGCCAGCCTATGCTGAAAAGTAAGATAATATTAAAAACCCATCACAATCATGGGAAGTGGCAGCAGTGAATGCCTCAATTTTAATTTTTAATATTAGAAATATTGACAAATATAACCCATTCAAACAAAAACTATTTTGAAATCCCCCATCATTTTTAAAAGAGGAAAGGAGACCTGAGAGAAAAAAAGTTTAAGAAAACTTTTTGTTTTAAATTGTTCAACTTCCCCTTTTCAGTTTTTCTCAAAATCAATGCTGTGGTAAGATAGGAAAAGTTCCATTATTAAAAAAATCTCCTCTTTATTTGTTTAAAACATTTTTGTAGTTGCCCATTTTATAGCAAACTCCCAGTAGGCTTTTTGGCCTAAGTGGTTCATGCTTGAAACTATGTCCTGTTGCTCTGTTTGCGTGTCTATGTGTTTACTATTTTTCTCATTCACCCTCTGTTCAGTTTTGCCACTAGGGAAGACTGTAAATGCAGCTTATGGAAGTAAGAGACGAATCCAGTCGTTCAGAGATTTGCTTGAGGGGAGGACTCACTTTCCAGGACTGTTCAGAAGGCCTCTCCACCAACAAGCAGAGCAGCAATGCAGTAGCTGGCCTATCCTCCCTCCCTCCCTCCCTCCCTCCTTCTGTGTGTGTGTGTGTGTGTGTGTGTGTGTGTGTTTTGTTTGCTATTGCGTTGTTATTTCTGATTTGTATTCTGTAGTTGACTATTTCAATTAAGCACAACTGTTTTCTGAGTGATTTGGACTAAGGCAGTCTACAAATTTAATTTTAAAAATATATTGTAATGGCAGAATACAACGATGAGAATAATAATGTCAGTAACAATTTAATAATGTGACTTCCCCAAAGTTGTAATAGTTTCAGAAGGAGATATAATTACACTGGTGAGGCTATCACTCCACTGATTAGGCATATTCAAGGCCAATTGTAGTAGTTAGCTATCTTGAAAGAAACAGCTGTTGTGGATTTGAAACCAGTTGTTTAATTCACATGTGTCCAAACAGATTTGATTGTTAATTTAGTATGTTAAATATTATATCTCTAAGGTTCGGAGAAAAATTTTGGATACTGTAAATATGTTATTTAAAAAGGACAATGTTTGATAATGCCTTTGAAGAAGTTCTGTCATAAAAATATTTCAACCAAACTAGGAAGGCAAATTTTTGGGTGGTGTTTGCATGAACATTTCAAATATTTATAGGAGAGTTTATGAGGTCTCCTTACCTACTGTGCAATTATATTTTATGGAATAAAATTATGGAAGTTTGGTAATAACATTTTAATTATGAAATATTTCTTAATGTAAAGAAAGTCTGCACACCTATATGCATGACAGTAAGCTTAGCAGATCATAATCAGCTGGCATAGAAAAGTTATGTCTGTGCAAAGAAATAGGTATTTAATAATAAAATGAATTGAGAATGAAGGATGTTATAAATTATCACACTGATAACATATGGAAAACATATTTCTGGAACAAAGTGATATTTTTATACCTATATATCATCTATCTATCTATCTATCTATCTATCTATCTATCTATCTATCTATCTATC